ACCTTGCATTTATAGTGCATATTCTTGTCACACTACAAACAATTCTAGGATCAGGATAGAAACAGCTGCAGCCTTTTCCAGCTTCATGTACAGTTAGAACTGCCACATTTGTGCTGTAGCCATCCAATCACTAATTAGATGGCAACAAAGAATTAATAGTTTCTTGCGTTACTTTGATTTGTTAAGTCAGTTTCTGTGGTCACCATCTCAAAAATGGCATAGTCATCTAGTGGCCACAATGTAATAGTCCTATGCACCAGTGACCTGTGCCTCATGTGGCTTTATACACAAATCTTTCATGTGGACCTACAGCCAGTTCATTTCTAAGGATTTTATAATTTGTGAACCCAGTATTTCCTCTCAAGCATTCCTCTACTTTTCCTTATTGGAATGGGGATAGGGGAGTGCACAGAAGGTTATAAGCCACAGTAAACTTCTCTCGAAAGCCAGTTGCTTGTCTCATATGGCTCATGTGTGGGTTTGGGTGTGTGCACATGCACCTTTAAGTCAATATTGATTCTTGGTGACAGCATGACTAGTCCCAGTAGTTTTCTTGGCAAAATTTTAGAGATGGTTTGCCATTGCCTTCTGCCTAGGGTTGAGACAGAGTGATTGGCCCAATGTCATCAAGCTGTCTCTGTACCTAAGGTGAGACTAGATCTCATCTCCCGGTGTCTAGCCTGATGCCATAACTGCTACATCAAACTGGCTCTCTCATCCAGCTTCAGACACATCTAATTCCTCAGAGATCTCAATAGTGACTGTACCTTCCCTTTCTGATGATACCACGAGATGCTTTCATCCAATTTATTTGGGTCCTTGTATAATCGCTGAGAGAAATAAGGTTATCTGTGTAAAAGAGCAGAACCTGACCGACTACATTTCTACACTTTAGATAATACCAGAAGCAGAAGCAGAAATTTCATAACACATTACTTTGGTAAATACATTAAGTTAATACCATATATATACAGGGGACATTTAGGGGAATACAAGAGCCGTGAGGTTAAATGAGGAAGAACAGGCTGGGTCAAACTGAGGCCTAATGAGAAAGTGCTGGTGTCAGTTTTAAGAGGCTGACATAAGTGGCTTGATTGTGCTTATAATTCCTAATAGGTGGGAAGCAATTGGGGGCTTCCACTAGGGTTTTTTGGGGGGGGGGCGGAAACTGGTTGACTAGTTGCTAAAGGCATGTTGTATAATACGACTTTATGAAACACAGACATTTAAGGAAGTGGACTGTTATCCCAAAACTGTATTTAAACTCTCTATCTAAAGGTGTTAGACATTCTCTTTCTATCTTTCATGATTGAGAATCCTTTTGCAAAAGCTTTTACAATTGTATCTTAAATAAACATGCTTTTTATTGTTTATGGTCTCCTTGCCCTTTGTTCCTTTACGAGATAGAGATTTCTTTTCTCACATCGATACAACATGTGACATGTACAGAAAGCAAGTTTCATGTATAGCCCATTCAGGATGATCTAGATACTTTTTATTTTTTAAGACTTGTATTTAAAAAAAAAACAATCGCAAACAGGTACTTTTACAAAGTATGTTGATGTAGAAATGATGGAAATGCTATGAAACATCTGTCATGGAATGTCACCAAGTTCCTTCCTTGAAAGTCTTCCAGTACCTGATAAAGAATTAACGGGCTGCTTCAAAAAGCTTTGATTGATTGATTAAATGCTGTCAAGCCAGTGTCAACTCTTAATAACCACATAGAATTTCTTGGATGAGCTGGAGAAATTGGAGGATCAACATCTAGTGGACTTCCCTACTACTGTAATTTTGCTTAGAAAGTTGGAGTTTTGTTTTTGCTTTTACTTTATTGTTGGCAACTTTCATACTTCTCTGTTCTTTCATTCATTGCATTTTATAAACACAGCCTGATATTTCTTAATTTATATTCATGGAATTTGGCTGCACTGAGTTTTCTTTGCATAATAAAGTGGGAATTAAGTTTCTGAAAACAACCTATTTAATTCAGTGTACTCCAAATATCTCCCAATGCACACCAGAGGATACACTTGAATTTTGCAAACTAGAGTGGGTTTTTGCTAAAATGGTTCCTTGATGTTTTCCTTATAAATTCTCATCTTATTTCAGAGAGGTTGAGGAGGTGCCTCAGTTATAAATTGAAGAAAAATGAAGATTAGAACCAAAAAAGTACCAGAATCTCTTCTTCTTTCTCTACTACCCTTTTATTCACTTAACTTCTTTGCTCTTCATTCTTTACCATTCAGAGAAATACTTCAGACCTCATGCAAGGGTATCAATCTCTACTATTCAAAAAGGCATGTATGTCTCTTAAGGATGTCATGTAAATCTGAAAAAATGTATCTGATTAAAGAATTGTATTAGTCATTCCATTAACTAAAGGATCACTTTCCTTATTCAAGCTGGTGAAGAAGGTTGAAAAAAAGGGACTGCTTTAATGGATCACAGAGATGTGGTGCTTTTTATAAGATCCCAAAGACTTTCAAATTATTTCAAAATGTGTACACCTTTAGTGGGAAAAGCAGTCCTTCGCTAAAGCTCAGAAAATTACTCCATTACTCTTCCATTACTCTATCCATCTTCCATCCTTACTTGTAACTAGGACAAGAACTATTTTAAGGCTTTTGTAGTTCTGAATTTCTCCAACAGTGGTAGATGGGAAGAGACTCACTGACCCGATTTGGGAAGGATCTCATGAGAGACAGGGAGTAAAGGAGGACAGAGCAGCCAGCTCTCCAGTTGACTGTCCTGAAGCAAAGGGAATTGAACAACTCAGCTGAATGTTCTCCAGGGTCTGGAATTAGAGCGGCCTCTGAAAGATTTAGGCTTAGTGTGTTCTCTCCCCCCCTCTCCCTCTCTCCTTCTGTCTTATTTAGATTGGATTTAGGGGAAGGTAGTTCACACTGCAATACATACCACTGTTTCAGCCCCAATTAGCTCTTATTATTTGAATTAAAAGTATTTCAGAATTTGTGCTCAGTGGCAAGAAGTAAACTCTTCATCATTATTTTAAAATTATATTAATAAAATCATTGTGGGCAGTAGTATCTTTTATGTCTTTAAAACTTACCATAACTATTGTCTCTGAATAGAGTTTGTAAATTTCTCTGAAGAAATGTTTGCTTCTCTCTTGATGGGGCTGAGATTCTTTGATAAAGTGGTCAGTAGGACTTCAGAAACACTGAAGTCATCTACTCCAGCAGAAATGGGTAGCTTTTATATGGAAAAATATGCTTTTTGGGTAGTGTTGCTCAGTCTAATTTCTGTTTTGGATGGGGGCATCACCAATTCCTTTTCCTTTCCTCAGCTCTTTTTGGGGAACCTTTAACAGCTTGATTTAGAGCCATTTGTTTAGTAAGTTGAGTTTCTCTTACCCTGAGCCAGATGGTTCCACCACAAATCCGCGAAGCCCTTATCCGCGGAGACATAAGCGCGAAGACTAATTCGCGCCGCTCAAAGCGCTAAGGAAAAATGCG